ATTGCTTACAATATAATCGAATTTAAATAATTTGAGTGTCTGCAAGCTTTGTATCGTTTAAAGAAAAGAAAATTTAATCCAGTGTAATCTACGAATAAAAAGTACAACTACATTTATATGAGGATCCTCCCAACGTCCTATTTTCTGGGAAGCAAGGATAAACCAATTGCTAAACTATAATTAAATAAGTTGTTGCATTACCAACAAAGCTTCTGTAGCTCAGTCGGTGGTAGCGTCCCTCTCATATACTGAAAGGGGAAGGTCGTGAGTTCGAGCCTCACCAGGAGCATGTTAAGGTCGGATAGCACAGTTGGCTAGTGCGCATGACTGTTAATCATGAGGTCGAGGGTTCGAGTCCCTCTCTGACCGTACTTTTTATTTTCAGTCTCATTTGAAATGAGGTTGATTTTTCACAACTAATATACCTAAAACGTATTTAGACTTTATGTTAATAATTCCATATTTGCACATCAACTGAAGTTAGCAAGTGGCTCCCTAATTCTTCGTAAGTAGTGATGTATTAGAAAAAGCCCGGCGGTCTCCAATGTTCAGAGGATTGATATGTTTATTAAATAAAGCAAGTAAATTTAACCTTACAAGATAATATTCTTTTGCTTACTTTGCTTGTTTATAAATACGAAATAAACGAAGCTTGATTTACTAAATCGACGCCGGAATATAGATTACTAATTATCCACAAAACTATTTATCGCTTCGTACAAAGACTTGCATGTTTCAAAAAAAAAAAGGAAACCTATTTATTTAAGATTCAATAACGAAAATAAGAAGCCAAAGGATGCAAAGAGAAGAAGAAACAAACAGCGAAACATAAATAAAGATAAAGTAAAAATAAATAAAGAAGACAGCAAAAGAAAAAGAAATTTGACCCCGCCAGGAGTCGAACCTGGAATCTCCTGATCCGTAGTCAGGCGCCTTGACCATTGGGCCACGAGGCCTTCGTTGAAGAGAACTTCCTTTATAATGTTTTGATCCATCTCTGTTTGAGTTTTAATATCGCTTGGTTCTTTCGCTTCTTCTAATAGCCGTTTTTTGTATCTTAATACTACATCCTAATGTGATGCTAGAATAATGTGACATATATGTCCAGCCATCGTTGTAACTAAGTAATCGCTCTTTGGTCGATAAGAAAAGCAAAAAAATAATTAAAAAAAATAAAAAAACAAAGCAAAGCATAAAGATACACTTTACTTTCTAGGACTCTGTTTGTGATCAGTGATATTAATGGTTCATAGTAAACTTTATTATTTTTTACTTTCTCTATCTCTTTCTTTTAATTCTACTTTTTCTATTTTTCATTTTCGATTCTATTTGTTTGACTTTAATGACAAGCCTGTGGAATTTTGGTATGCGTGTGCCGACGACGTACATACAAAACCAGCAACCAGCAAGGTAATAGGTGCGTAAGTTACAAAGCAAACAGAATGTTTATAGAAAAAACACTTACAACAAATGGTCGCATGATGTAGTTGGTTATCATGTCGATCTAATAAGTCGAATGTCGCCAGTTCGAGCCTGGCTGTGACCATTGTTTTTTTTCTTTTTCTTTTTTTTCCCTCTTTCTATTTCTATCTTACATTTACCTTTAATCACTCTCTTTGTCTTTTTCTTTTCTTTTTTTGTCGTAATGAAATACCTATCTATTTGTATATTTTATCGCAGAGTTGAATGACCACTGTGCGAAACAAAACAAAACTAGATGAAATCAAAGTAAACTAAACTAAATCGTAAAGCAAGTTAGAACAAATTTGAATAGAGATAAAAAAAAAGGATTCTAATTCAAGTAAAAAGCAAAGGGAAATTTGAAGAAGGTTGAACAGGGAAAAATTGGACAAGCCAGAACTCGAATCTGGGACCTCTTCCATGCTAAGGAAGCGTGATAACCATCTACACCACATGCCCTTGGTTGATGTCTTGTTCTTTTCTATGTTATGTAAACAGCACTCTATATCTGACAATTCGAAAATGTGAATCTGTAATTTGGTACTCTTTCAACAAATTTGCGCATTTCAGAGTTGATATATATATATATATATATTCATGACAATTCGACATTCTACATTTGTATGTTACAAGAATTAAACCAAAAAAAATCAAAAAGGTAGTTTTTATTTTGTTTTGTCGTCTTTAGTTTTTCTTTATTTTTTTTCGTATTGTGAAAGCGAGTGAAGTGGTATGCGTATAAATTGATTAATCTGGGGTTTTTTTTTGTCTTCTTCTTTTTCAAAAAACTGAGCTTCAGTTTTAATTTCAAACATTTAAGACACCGTTGGAAACCAAATTTTCGCTGAATTCATCGAATGAGATTTGATTGTCGGGAATATATAAATATATATATATTTTTCCTTATTCGCTAACTTTGAAAGCAAATCATGTATAATTTCTTCGAAGTCAGCAGTCGTTTTGCACTTGGGTATAAGTTGTTACAAGTTATGTAACGTGTAAACAAGGATAGCAGATTTATTTAAGATGAGACTGTAATCTCTTTGACTAAGCTTAAATTAAGCGACTTTTTGTTGGATAGGTTGACAAATTTCAGTGAGTAATTATATCACCTACCTCTTTTCGTAGAAGTTCTTGCAACCAATACATAGAGTATATTTGAATATGTTATGAATTGTATGAACTGGCTTAACGAACAACAAAGTAATTACTTCTTTAATATTATTTGCCAAGACGTAATCGATAATCGCTTGCTATTCTACAGGATGGATATATCAGCTGTTTCTAAACATTCTACACGCTTGGATGAATGATACATTTGATCAATTTTATCTATATAGTGCGTCCTTTTCGGATTCTATAATTTCCTTTGATGCAAGAAAAATACTTTTGTGACATCGTGGCGATTCAACTGACATTGCGAGGATCAAAACACAGTAAATACTTCTTTTTCAGCAATAATTTTCGGAAGTCGCTCGTATGCTTGCATATACTCAAACAAATACTACTTTCTCTGCTTATGAATCAGGTTATTATGAGAAATCCTATCTCTCAAAGTAACTAACAGTACACTAAACGATCACAGTTGATAAACTATTAAATATAATTTTATGAATAACAAAACATAGACACTGCTTGTTTATTCTGAGTAACAAAAAATAAAAAAGTTAATTTCGACGCTCAAAATTACTATATCCATTCCAACTGGTTACAAGCATAAAATTCAGCTGAGGTAGCATTCATGGATATATGTTTAAAATTTCGTTCAGTTAGATTTTTACAAGTACTAACAGGAATATATGTTCCTTCTATATAATTAGTGTTTTCAAGCTTAAAACAGAATTCAGGTCAAGTTGGTAATTAATATTGCCAAGCTTTGTACAATATTTAGCGTTTAGCTAGATAAGCTTTGTTACTTTTTAATTAAAAAGTATTAGAGAGGCTAATTCAACAAAAGGGTGTTTATTCCGGATGATATACGTCAGTTAAACTATTGTCTCTTCAAAAAAAAGAAAAAAACAGAGAAAAAGGGACTTTCATAATCTTTTAAGTAATTAACGGGAAAAGAAAAGGTTACATCGCTAATAAAATTATATAAGAAGGTTACGAACAAGTGTTACACTTCTGGGTAATCTCAACTGATAGTCAAATATAAACTATGCATAAGAATCTCTCCGAAGAAGTTTAGATAGTGAATCAGAATTTTATGAGAATATTTACGATCTAATTTATTTATTTGCAAAAGCATTTTTTATTTATTTTTTTCTGTTGAGACATGTGCATAAATCTATAATTAAGCGAGAGGCCAGAAAATACGTCTTTCCAAGTATAATATTTATCCAAACAACTAGACGAAGAAATGAAATTTAAAAATAGCATTTTCGTGACAGTATTACTATTATCTTTAAAAGCGAAAATCTTGGGGATTATTTTGGTGAGCTTTGTTATAATTTACTCACGCATAATATGTTACGACAAGTAATACTTATAATCGTACCATTCAGGCGGACAAAAAATAACGATCGCAGAAGAAAAACCAAACACAAATTGTCTTAACTATAAAATTTATGTTACTAAGCTGATAGCCGTAAAAGTATAATAGTACTTTTACCGATAACCGGAAAGAGTGCAAGCATTGAAGTATCGTAATTTATTCATAAAAATAGATGAAAATCAAGCTAAGGTTCTCTTATTGCCATTTGATATAGCAAAAATAATTGTCAACATATTGGAAAATGAAGCTAACTTCGTTAAAAATTCCTTCATATATGAATTCACTTTATAAATGTCCCATTGCTCAGATTTGGAATAGATCAAGGTCTGGTTTTGTCTCAGAGCATTTCTTTTGAATATAAAATAATAGCCCACATTTCTTTGGATTAGTTAGATTGCAAAGCCATCTAATAAGGAGAGAACGAAAGATGCAAATACAAAGGCGTAAAGACTGTCGTCGACAAAATTAAAGTATAGGATTCAGAATGTCTCCATTTTTAGGATGTTTCGAGTTATGTTAATTCAGCTAATCTTTATCACAAAGATAACAGAAATAATTTTCAACCTTATAGGAGGATACGTTATGGGAAATGATTTGATGGAAAACTAAGGGGTTCAGTATTCAACAACAAATGATGGTTATAATAATTTAAGAAAATCGGACGAAAATCCCTTTCATTCGTTACTAAACGTATCGAATTACGGTCGAATCTCAAGAGAAAGATACTACTGTGACTTTCGGAAAATGGATTAACTGTTAAGTTTATTGTTATCCACGGATTTTATGTCAAAAAACTCATTTAAAATATTCTTCATTAAACTATGACTACTTAACAGTGTTTTTTATATTGCGGATAAAGAATCTAAGGATTGAGCAGATTACCTTACTTTATGACGAGATAATATACAACAATTCAGACACAATTATATCTGCTAGGGTTCGCCTGAACTTACTTAAAAATATAGGAATCTCTTGTCTTGTTCATTCTCCTTGACGTATTCTATAAGCAGTTATTTTTAGAGAATCAGAAAAAGTAATGAAAAATGGAACCCTGAAAGTTGAGCAATCAGCAGGCTACTCTATTCGTTAGATCTGACCGTAAAAAATGTAGTACCATTCTACAACATATGGCGGTGTAATAGTCAACTATGAATCGCAAATCATAATTCTTAAAAGCTCATGTGTTTTAGCGCGAGCTAACAGTGTGAAACCATATAGTAATTGGTAGTGGCAGACGTACAGGCGGCAATATTGCCATGTTGAGTAGTGTTTTTTCTTTAGATTTAAGCTAAATTGCAGAAAAAGAAAACGAAAGACTGCAAAGGAAAGAGGAA